TATAAATGCTCACTATAACTTTTCGCAGTGTCTGACACATGTGCAACCACTGGAATTTGAGACGCGACATATTTTATTTGCCTGTACATCCTATTATTTTCACCGAAATAAATAAATTGCATAATTTCTTATTTTTTTCCACACAAGTACAGCTTTACTAGTTTTCTTTAGGTTTAATTTGTAGTTCTGTGGTAACATGACACCCGTATGAGCTTTTTTGGAACCAGCAAGTGGTTAAGGGGTCCTTACTTATTCATTTAGCCCTCATATTTGACTGAAATAGAGATAGCAATAGGGGTTTCTTTACACTGACAAGACATTTTTTTTTACAAAGAATGTAATTATGACTGTTTATCAGCAAGATTAAATAGTTTATTTATTTTCCATGCAAATGTCATTAATTGTTTTGATTTTCTGACAATGAAAAGCACAATAAAGGTAAAATGATTATGTAAGGGGACATAATTTAACTTAATGCATACATGAGAAATATACAAACAGTCAACTTAGAGATATATTCTAGTACATATATTGTCAAAAAGATTTTAGAATGATAGTTAACTGCCATCTAAAGAATCTTGTTGTGTTGCCTTCATAATCTGGAAATGCTTAAAGTAATGTAAGGCATGCTGTAAAATGTGGAATGGACTTGAATATCATTTTTCATGATTTGGTGCTTAAACTGTTTCTTTCAGTCAGATTAACTATAAATAGAGTTGGCAATCCAATAATTCCTCCTCAATCACCATGTTTGACTTCTGTGTTGATTTGAAACATCATATATTTGGATTTTGTTCACTCCTTAAGTAAAAATGGTAAGATGATAAAAAAATGAAAATCTGCAAGCTGGGGTAGGGGTGTAATCTTTCATTTTTTTTTTGGTAAGAAATAAGTGCAGACTAGTATTCTTTATTGTAATATGTTACATAGTAAGAAGGCTATGCATCATAGGTGTCATGACTGATTTCAAGTTTGAAATGTCTTGGTTAAGGTAGCACGGTAGTATTTGCATTCCAGAATTTAGGTTGCTCTTTTGTGTACCCTACTTAAGTCAATGTATCTGAACATTATGATTGGACAAAAAATACAGTATCAACTGAACATACTTTCCCAAACTGAGGGATGAATCAGGTGTAGAAAAATATGAAATAATTTTACATACAGATGAAAATGAATTTTTGAGAATTTTTTTTAATTTTGTATTCACTGCACGATAAAAGACCTAAAAGCACTGGTGGCCTTAGATTCTTAAAGATAGCAAAAAAAGTAAACGGTCATGATACATATTCAAATTCATTTCTGAATAGTAAAATGAAAGTACTTCAGTTAACTGTGAATGTAGAATTTATAGCAGTGTTAGAAAGTGGTGAAAATTCAAAAAAGGCTATCATTATCCCTTATGGGTCAGGAAATACTACCGTGCCACCTTAAGGGGGATATACATGTTTACACTAAATCAATGAAGGATTTTTTTTACCTATGCAATTTGTAAGTTTATCAATAAAAAGTTGATTAAGGGCAACTATGATAAAAACAGCCCTTAAATTCCACCCCTGGGAGTGAAAATTGCTGATTCAGCAAATTTTGCCTGATCTGTGGGTAATAAAGTAAAAATTTACCTAGAAAGTAGAACTTCATTATTTTTATGTAACTTGCAATACATTTTTAATTATAAATGCTCACTATAACTTTTCGCAGTGTCTGACACATGTGCAACCACTGGAATTTGAGACGCGACATATTTTATTTGCCTGTACATCCTATTATTTTCACCGAAATAAATAAATTGCATAATTTCTTATTTTTTTCCACACAAGTACAGCTTTACTAGTTTTCTTTAGGTTTAATTTGTAGTTCTGTGGTAACATGACACCCGTATGAGCTTTTTTGGAACCAGCAAGTGGTTAAGGGGTCCTTACTTATTCATTTAGCCCTCATATTTGACTGAAATAGAGATAGCAATAGGGGTTTCTTTACACTGACAAGACATTTTTTTTTACAAAGAATGTAATTATGACTGTTTATCAGCAAGATTAAATAGTTTATTTATTTTCCATGCAAATGTCATTAATTGTTTTGATTTTCTGACAATGAAAAGCACAATAAAGGTAAAATGATTATGTAAGGGGACATAATTTAACTTAATGCATACATGAGAAATATACAAACAGTCAACTTAGAGATATATTCTAGTACATATATTGTCAAAAAGATTTTAGAATGATAGTTAACTGCCATCTAAAGAATCTTGTTGTGTTGCCTTCATAATCTGGAAATGCTTAAAGTAATGTAAGGCATGCTGTAAAATGTGGAATGGACTTGAATATCATTTTTCATGATTTGGTGCTTAAACTGTTTCTTTCAGTCAGATTAACTATAAATAGAGTTGGCAATCCAATAATTCCTCCTCAATCACCATGTTTGACTTCTGTGTTGATTTGAAACATCATATATTTGGATTTTGTTCACTCCTTAAGTAAAAATGGTAAGATGATAAAAAAATGAAAATCTGCAAGCTGGGGTAGGGGTGTAATCTTTCATTTTTTTTTTGGTAAGAAATAAGTGCAGACTAGTATTCTTTATTGTAATATGTTACATAGTAAGAAGGCTATGCATCATAGGTGTCATGACTGATTTCAAGTTTGAAATGTCTTGGTTAAGGTAGCACGGTAGTATTTGCATTCCAGAATTTAGGTTGCTCTTTTGTGTACCCTACTTAAGTCAATGTATCTGAACATTATGATTGGACAAAAAATACAGTATCAACTGAACATACTTTCCCAAACTGAGGGATGAATCAGGTGTAGAAAAATATGAAATAATTTTACATACAGATGAAAATGAATTTTTGAGAATTTTTTTTAATTTTGTATTCACTGCACGATAAAAGACCTAAAAGCACTGGTGGCCTTAGATTCTTAAAGATAGCAAAAAAAGTAAACGGTCATGATACATATTCAAATTCATTTCTGAATAGTAAAATGAAAGTACTTCAGTTAACTGTGAATGTAGAATTTATAGCAGTGTTAGAAAGTGGTGAAAATTCAAAAAAGGCTATCATTATCCCTTATGGGTCAGGAAATACTACCGTGCCACCTTAAGGGGGATATACATGTTTACACTAAATCAATGAAGGATTTTTTTTACCTATGCAATTTGTAAGTTTATCAATAAAAAGTTGATTAAGGGCAACTATGATAAAAACAGCCCTTAAATTCCACCCCTGGGAGTGAAAATTGCTGATTCAGCAAATTTTGCCTGATCTGTGGGTAATAAAGTAAAAATTTACCTAGAAAGTAGAACTTCATTATTTTTATGTAACTTGCAATACATTTTTAATTATAAATGCTCACTATAACTTTTCGCAGTGTCTGACACATGTGCAACCACTGGAATTTGAGACGCGACATATTTTATTTGCCTGTACATCCTATTATTTTCACCGAAATAAATAAATTGCATAATTTCTTATTTTTTTCCACACAAGTACAGCTTTACTAGTTTTCTTTAGGTTTAATTTGTAGTTCTGTGGTAACATGACACCAGTATGAGCTTTTTTGGAACCAGCAAGTGGTTAAGGGGTCCTTACTTATTCATTTAGCCCTCATATTTGACTGAAATAGAGATAGCAATAGGGGTTTCTTTACACTGACAAGACATTTTTTTACAAAGAATGTAATTATGACTGTTTATCAGCAAGATTAAATAGTTTATTCATTTTCCATGCAAATGTCATTAATTGTTTTGATTTTCTGACAATGAAAAGCACAATAAAGGTAAAATGATTATGTAAGGGGACATAATTTAACTTAATGCATACATGAGAAATATACAAACAGTCAACTTAGAGATATATTCTAGTACATATATTGTCAAAAAGATTTTAGAATGATAGTTAACTGCCATCTAAAGAATCTTGTTGTGTTGCCTTCATAATCTGGAAATGCTTAAAGTAATGTAAGGCATGCTGTAAAATGTGGAATGGACTTGAATATCATTTTTCATGATTTGGTGCTTAAACTGTTTCTTTCAGTCAGATTAACTATAAATAGAGTTGGCAATCCAATAATTCCTCCTCAATCACCATGTTTGACTTCTGTGTTGATTTGAAACATCATATATTTGGATTTTGTTCACTCCTTAAGTAAAAATGGTAAGATGATAAAAAAATGAAAATCTGCAAGCTGGGGTAGGGGTGTAATCTTTCATTTTTTTTTGGTAAGAAATAAGTGCAGACTAGTATTCTTTATTGTAATATGTTACATAGTAAGAAGGCTATGCATCATAGGTGTCATGACTGATTTCAAGTTTGAAATGTCTTGGTTAAGGTAGCACGGTAGTATTTGCATTCCAGAATTTAGGTTGCTCTTTTGTGTACCCTACTTAAGTCAATGTATCTGAACATTATGATTGGACAAAAAATACAGTATCAACTGAACATACTTTCCCAAACTGAGGGATGAATCAGGTGTAGAAAAATATGAAATAATTTTACATACAGATGAAAATGAATTTTTGAGAATTTTTTTTAATTTTGTATTCACTGCACGATAAAAGACCTAAAAGCACTGGTGGCCTTAGATTCTTTAAAGATAGCAAAAAAAGTAAACGGTCATGATACATATTCAAATTCATTTCTGAATAGTAAAATGAAAGTACTTCAGTTAACTGTGAATGTAGAATTTATAGCAGTGTTAGAAAGTGGTGAAAATTCAAAAAAGGCTATCATTATCCCTTATGGGTCAGGAAATACTACCGTGCCACCTTTATTAGCATGCCTTCTCTCTCTCTCTTTCCCACCGCATGTTAGATAGTCACACACAAATATATTGAGAGCGGTAAATAGATTATAGAAACGATTTCGTCCTTTATTAGTCCCCCAAGGACGTTGAAATTGATCGTCAAAAAAAAGGTGGTTCTAACCCCCAACCTGGAGCCGCCACTGGGAATGAGGGTCAGGAATGTAGTACAGCTTTGATGAGAAATACGGCAATTCCGAGATAGTCGGTTTCTCCGGTTTTGATTTTTGTTTAAATACACGGATTAAAAATAGCATTTCTTCACCAACTGATAACAGGTAAGTACATTTTTGTAAATAGATAAATAAGCTATATTTAGAGTCGGCATAGTTTATAAAACAATGACATAACATAAGCTCAATCAACATTTTGATCGACATACAGAGTGAAACTAATTTAACATAAATGCACTATATTAAAAAAAAAAAAACACCCAGAGAAAGGAAATATACTGCACAAAGTAAATAACACACCACTTCTACCAAAATATAGTAGACTAGTTTCTTTTATGGTGAAACAATTTCCGGTTTTCTTCTAAAAAAATTGCAAAGGTCTTTGACATTTCAAACATAACCTTGAAATTAATCCATGGTTTATAGAGAAATATTTATCTGTTTATTTTAGTGCCAACAATGGGAATTCATAATAAAAAGTTTTAAAAAGCAGTCGTGACTATATAGTCAATTTCGAATTAGCCATTAGACGAAACTGAACGTCATGGTAATTTTTGTTGTTTTCAGATGAAGAGATATACATGACTTCAGTTTTAACTGAGTTGGCAACATTTTTCATTTTTTCGGTTTGAAGAATTTTTGGTGTAAAAGACAACAAAATCTTCATTTCAACAGCATTATTTTGATGTCTATAAACACATGTTACGCCAGAAATGTTGAGTCAAACTTTTGACTTATTTTATTCCGTTTTTGAAAAGTTATATGCTATAGAATTTTTAACTTCAAAGAAATTAATTGATGTGGTTCTTTTCTTCTGTCATGTCTGTTGTTGAGTATTAGTATGAAGATTGTATAGGCAGAGAATCTAAGTATTAAAGAAAAACAAAAAACAAAAAAAACTTAAACTAAGAATGATTATAAAGCTTGGGAAATGTATAGCATAAAAGACCCATTTTAATCAGTTGCAGATCCAGGGGAGGGGGGGGGGGGGGGGGGGTCCTCAGGTGTTGTAACCCCCCTTTTTTGACGATCAATGCTTTTGAATGGGGACTTATGGTTGGAACCTCCCCACTTTATCCTGGGTTGGGACCCCCTCCCCCTTTTAACAATGGTTGGATCCACCCATGTTAATATAATGTTCACTTCAATATAATTTGTAGATAGAATAGGAAGGCTTAATTGAGGATCACCATCACTTCTTTTGTTTCTTTGTGTCCCCTAATGTAATCAGAACCTATTTTGGATGTAAATGTCAACCATTTATATATTAAAAAGCTCAACAAAAAATGTTCTATTTCACTTTATAAAAAAACTCATTAAAGATACATTTACATGCAAAATAATGTTTGTTTTGCAGTAATAAGGACTTACAAAAAAGTTATAGCATCCTTTTCAGTTTTATATATGTATGTCGGTAAATACTGAAAGTATTCTGGCAATGGTAAATACAATGACCAAAAGGAAATAATATAGGCTGAATGTACTCATTCTACCTTTTTATTTGAAAGGAATATAAAAAGTTTTATGTTTTAGTTAGAAATTACATTATGTAGGCATGCATGTAGGCATATCACAAATGACAGACAGAGCATTTATAATGTAGCATCTTATGTAGGCATATCACAAATGACAGACAGAGCATTTATAATGTACAAAATGTAGCATCTTGTCATTGTACAAGCTTTATAAACAGGATGGAAAGTAAGACTCAGTGAGCTTTTCTACTGTTTCATAGGGAGTACAAACACATTTTATATTGGTTTTTATCCTGCAATTTACACCCATCACTTGAAAATTTAGTTGTTTAAATCCAAATTATTGTCTTTGATTTTTCAAAGAAATCGACTTTCTCATTGTTGAAGGCTGTATGGTTGCCTATAATTGCTTACATTCACTTCATTTGAACTTTGGTGGATAGTAGTCTCATTGGCAATCATACCACATCTCCTTTTTATGCTTATACACAATGCTTATTACCACAAAACACAGATCAAATTCGAAAATTGGGTGGTGTCACTTTTACCGTTCATGAGTTATGCCCCTTTATAAAATAAAAATTGCTTAATTTACGTTTCCTTTCTCTAACTTTAGTTTACCTCAACCAAATTTTATAAAACTCATACACAATGCTTATTTCCACAAAACACAGATCAAGTTTGAAATTGGATGGCGTCAATTTTTACCGTTCATGAGTTATGCCCCTTTATAAACATAAAAATTGCTGAATTTTTCGTTTCCGTTCTCTAACTTTGGTTTGCCTCAACCAAATGTTTTAAAACTTATATACAGTGCTTATTACCACAAAACACAGATCAACTTCAAAATTGGATGGTTTCACCTGTACCATTCATGAGTTATGCCCCTTATAAACATAAAAATTGCTGAATTTTTCAGTTCTGTTCTCGTAACTTTAGTGTGCCTTAACCAAATATTATGAAACTTATTCACAGTAACTTTAGTTTGCCTTAACCAAATATTATGAAACTTATACACAGTGCTTATTACCACAAAACACAGATCAAGTTTTAATTTTGGTGGCTTCACTTTTACCTTTCTTGAGTAATGCCCCTTTATAAATGGAAAAATTGCTAAATTTGTCGTTTCCATTCTCTAACTTTAGTTTGCCTCAACCAAATGTTATGAAACTTATAAACAATGCTTATAATCAAAAACAATCTTAACTATGTTAATCCTGCATCTGTCTGTGGAAGTCAACTCATGCATATTTACAAGTGGGGGCATCTGTGGCCCATAGACACATTCTTCATTTATTTATATTAGTTTAAACACGGACTGCAAAGAGGACTCCAAAATGAACTGTTACACAAAAAGAAATATCCATATTACCACTTACTCAACATGCTCAACACGAAAGCTGGAAAACTGGAGACTTGATTTGAACATTAGTACAAATAAAGCAAAAAAAATGTTATTTGTACAATAGTTGGCTGATTGCAGGATAAAATGTAGCATCTTGTCATTGGAGTAGGCCAATTCTGTATACAATCTAAAATTTATAGATTTTTATATTTTTTATAGACAAAGAAGAAAAGTGAATTTACTATGAGTTTAGAAAAATTTCTGCAATCCAGTGACCAAGCCACAAAGTATCTTGCTAGCCAGGTTGGTCCAGATGGTGTTTTATTTGACCAAAATGTAAGTGGTGACCTGTGTTCTCAATACAAACTTGTCACACTTCTGCTCATTAGTGGACATAATGTAGAAGGTCAAAGGTTAATGGAGAGGATAAAGAAAGATTTTCTTCAGGTACTTATAATTTATGAAAAAAAGTGGATAAAAGATATACAAACTAATGCTATATTTGTACTGTTCTTTGAATACGTGACTTCTCAAAATAGGAATGTTCAATGATAAACCTTCTGGGATCAGACTGTCCAGTGTTGGATCCTGAAGGCTGAAACCCAGTTGAAGGTCTAGTTTAAAGTTTAAAATTCCGTATCATGAGATAAACTTGCACATTTTCATATTTAGCAATGTTTAGGAACAAATTGTTTCAGTAATGAATTGCTTAGTTTCTAAATAGCTAAAAAAAATTGAAAAGCCATGGAAATATACAACAATTTTGTAGTGATATAAAAATTACCCAGGTATTACAAAAGTCAAATACTTTATGACTGTCAGTACTGCTCCTAAACATTAGTTTGAAATGTTTCACCTGCTGTTTTGAAACAGATTTGTATGTGCTGTATGGGTTTAGGGAGCTACTATTTGATTTTTATGGGGGCTAGGATGAAATTTGAAAAAAAGGCAGGACAGGAGTTTTGAGTAAAGAAAAGGCAGGATGAGCAACTTGGAAAAAAAAAAGGCAGGATGACAATCTATGTAAAAAAAGTCAGGATAAACTAATAAAAAAAGGCAGGCCCGAATAGAGAGAAAAATAAAAAGACAGGACAGAGATTACAACTAAAAAAAAATGCAGGACAGAGATTACAACTAAAAACAAAATGCAGGACAAAATTTTTCATCCTAGCCCCATAAAAAATCAAATGGTAGTTCCCTTAACTCATTGTTGAAGACCATACGATAACTTTATAGTTATTTACTTCTACATCATTTGGTCTCTGCCGGAGAGTTGTCTCAGGGCCACTCAAGCCACACCTTCTTTCTTATTTAAAATTGTTGCATACAATAAATAAATAATTACCTTACCTATGACATTACATTCTTTATCCGCAGAATGATGGTGATTTTGTATCATTTCCTGAAAAGTCGGGGAGAGAAAGAAAGAGTTCATCTTTTCCAATGACACACTTCTGGGTTTACATGAATAACTGGATAGCAATGGGAGCACAAAGATCTGGAAGGTAAGAACAAGTGTATAGGTGTCCATCAGATACTATACCACCTACATGCGTTTTTCCTTGCCAGAGTTGAACTTGGTTTACAATATGATGAATTCTGTCAAGCTGTCTAGTAGTTATTAGGACATCACCAACATTTCTTTTCAAGGATCCAAAAAAAAATTCCTTAGCTATAAACAATATCCTTACCAAAAATAAAACCTCTGGAAGTTAGGAAGGCTGATTAATTTTAAGATCTCTTAGTCCTAGGTGATGGTCACAGCAGCAATTGATAGACTAAAACAGCAGCCAGATTTTGGTTTCATGATTTTTGTCGAGCCTGCGACTTTTGTTTTATTTGACCTTGACCTCATTCTTAAGGTTCATTGCTCAGTGTTAAGTTTTTGTGTTTTGGTCTGTTTTTCTTAAACTATAAGCAATAGGTCAACTATATTTGTTGTATGGAAGAATTGTTAGCCATACATGCCTGCCTAGCATGGTTCATCTGACCTTGACCTCATTTTCATGGTTCATTGGTCAATGTTTAGTTTACTTGGTTAATGTTAAGTTTATGTGACAGTTGTAATAAAGCTTTATATTTAGGACTATCAACATAATATCAATGATTAGTAAAGAAGGCGAGACATTTCAGCGTGTGCACTCTTGTTTTCTTTTATACCATCTGTCCTGCGTTTACCAAACTTGGTATGAAAATGCCAAATGTAATGATGAAAACATCTTTTATCTTTGAAGACACAAGTTCAAAGGTCATTTTCACAGCAGCAATCATTGATGAAACAATCAATGAAGGTTTAAACTAAACTAATACACATCAGGTGCTTCTGTATATTTTTGCTACATATCTAGGTACGTATCATTCGTTCAGAGACCTGCAGGTGGAGGTTTGATGTGTATTATTGGCATCATATTTTAAGGTTTTTTTAAATAGATATAACAAGATGTGGTATGACAGTGCCAATGAGACAACTCTCCATCCAAGTAACAATTTATAAAAGTAAACCATTATAGGTCAAGGTACGGCCTTCAACATGGAGCATTGGCTCACACCGAACAGCAAGCTATAAAGGGCCCCAAAAATTACTAGTGTAAAACCATTCAAACAGGAAAACCAACGGTCTAATCTATATAAAAACGAGAAACGAGAAACACGTATGAACTACATAAACAGACGACAACTACTGTACATCAGATTCCTGACTTAGGACAATTTAAAGCTTATATGAAATTACTGCTTTATCTAATCAGTGATCAAAATTTTTATTGTTACCTAACTTTTAAAATGATAGATATTATTATAATTTCTACGTTATGTCCATTGTTTTTATAAGTATGGCAAAAAATGCCTATATAAAATAAAAAAATTTTTATAATACAATGAACTGTTCTATTTCTCCTTCCAGATTTGATATTTCAGTACCAGCATATAATTTTTCCAAAACTTTCTATAACACAGAAAAGAAAGCAGTCTGTGTAACAGAAAAGTTTTCAGAGATTACAGAGGAATCTACTATGGACTGTCTGTCTACAGCACATTTTGGTCTACTTTCACTTTATATGGGAGGTAAAGTTAGGATATAGATAACATTTATTAGTATAAACCTCTTTTTATTCCCCCGCTGTAGGCGACTGGGGCATTAAGTGTAACCCTTGGCCGTCCGTCTTTCCATCCTTCCAACTTTCCGTCTGTCCCTCCCGATTTCGTTTGTTTGAAGCTTGAGCAGGGGCATTCTTGTCCACAGACACATTCTTCTTTTATTGTATTTCTCTTGTAAAAGCTAATACCAGATTTAGTCGGCTTGACTGTCAGTTATAGTTTACAGGGAAGGAAACTTGCAGGCACTTAGCAGTCTGTGGTCCCATCAATTGAGCTGGGCTGCTAATTTTTTCCACATTATTATTCGTAATCATATTACACTGGGCTACCAAAAATACTGGCTGGGCTACCTCTTGAATATTGGCTGGGCTACCTCTTGAATATATTTATTTCCGTCCCTTGTTGATAATAAAACAAATTATTGCTATTTTCTTAAATTTTGCTTTGATCTTTTTGTGTGATAATTTCCAAATCAAGCTACTTGGCTGAGAATGGAAAATAGTGATAAACAGGTTATCTATGGTCTTTAAACTCTGGGAAGATTCTTGACTACATCTCATCTCCTGTCTGTTATAGCCTTGACCACATCTCATGTTCTACATATCATAGCCCAACAATGAGTATGAAGTAAAAAATCTCCCTTTATTTTTAAAACCATGGACAGTCTATAAATAAGAGACATTGGTGCTGTCAAAAACTGTAAGATTAAAAAAACAAACAAAACCATGGCTTAAAAAAACAGACAAACAAATATAAAGCTATCTAACATGGAACTGCATTTAAATTCACAAAGTTAATTGTAAAATAATTGAGAAAAACAAAATGGAAATGTATATGGTGGTCGTTTGGTGTTCTCCCCTTCAAGTTTTATTATTTGTTCTTTATAGAATATCAAAGGTGAAAGAGTCACCATAGAAATATTCATCTTTATCCCCAACTTTGTGCAAAAAACAATTAACTGATTGTAAATTCAAATGTGGCATGTAGAGCATCATATTATAATTTATATTTTATAAATCAGAACATATTTGGTTGATATATAAATTATAATCAATCTAATTGGTAATTTCTGTTAAATATTTCAAAGCAAACTAGATAATGGAAATTTGTTTTCTAAGCATATTAGATTAAATTGAATTCACATGTATGATCTTTGATCATTTTACCAACAATTAATTTATATTTCAGATATAAATACTGCTAAAGATTGTGGGGAAACGTTACTTAATTTCATTAAAGCACAGCCTGACATTGAAAAAGAATTATTGCTACGCATGTCTGCTAAGACTGGTTCCTTGCTTACAGTTGTTCCTGACAATATGGAGCCTTTTTATAAAATCAAAAAGGAAAGTCCAAATCAACTTTATTTCTTTCTTGGTTACCATGGTATTTTTATGACCAAGTTGTACCAAGCAACACAGGATACACGATTTCTTGACAGTGCTGTTCAAATCTTAGACTTTGCTCTGACTTGTCACGAAAGCATATTTTCGTTTAGTTTTAGTCATAAAGTAGCCTATGCCGCTGCACTGGTTGCGACAGAAACAAAAAATGAGAAATATAAAGAAATGGCAATCAGAATTTGTGAATTTTTACTGTCAATTCAAATGGAAAATGGTTTGTTTGGTAAAGACTTTGAACCAATTGACAAATATGACCAGTCTGCTGAAATAGCTATATGGCTACGAGGAGTTGCCAGTGAACTAAATAAATTGAAATAACTTGTAATTTTGCTATCAGTTTTTTTTATTTGCTCCTTGATTAGAGTCTTTGCTTTATTACTATGTTCTTTACATGCCAAGTTTTGTGACCACTGGAAATGTAGGTTCAGTGTATGCTGACTTTAGGAAAAAATGATATATTTTATATTTAATAATAGACTTTATCATGTTTATATTTAACAGATTAAACAATTTTTAAATAAAAGAAGTCAACATGGCAAACGACATCAGTGGACTCCTTAAACATGTTAAATGAGTTATTGCCATTAAATGACAACTTTGCCATTTGTTTAGTTTTTTTGTAGAACTATATAAAATAGAGAGAGAACTTGATAATATAAAAAAAAAAGATCAGCAAGACAAAATCTACAAAACAGTCGACATTGCAGAAGTTGTCATGCTACAGGTTATAATAAGGAGGTATTGACCTTATTAACAATTTTTACCCATAGTTTTGTTTTTTACAGAAACTTTAAAAGTTAATAGAGAGCAAATGAATGCATATATAAGCAGGGCAAGATCTACTAATCAGTCAACATGTCAGACAAATTCATTTAATATTTTAAAACAGTACTTCCCCTTGAATGACAATTTTTGTCAATTTTGTCTACAAATAAGTCAACATTGCTGAAATAGTCAATTGACTTCTTATAGAAATTATTGCCCTTCAATGAAGATTTTACCCATATCTGTGGGTTTTTTTGTGGCAACTATTTTATATACAGAAATATTGTAGGAAACATAAATGTTCAACAGGCAAAACCTACTTAAATGTCAACATGGGGGAAAATACCAGTCTATTACTTATAGGAGTAATTGCTGCTTTTGACAATCTTTTCATACCTTTATAGATCTGTTTTTAAAAAAGAACATTTGAAGCAACAAAATTATTCACCATATTACCTACACCAGCTGGTGTCACAATAATACTAAGACACCAACTGGTGTCACCATATTACTAAGACACCTACTTGTGTCACCATATTATTCAGATACCAACTCATGTCACCGCATTATTAAGACGACATATCTTGTCACCATAATACTAAGACATCACTCTTATATCCTTGTTACTAAGACAAAAATTCGTGTCACTGTATCACCAACATATCTTGTGTCACCATGTTACGAAGACATCAACTGGTGTCACCATATAACTAAGATAACATCTCGTGTCACCATATTATTGAAAGATAAACTCGTCACATATCATCAATGCATCTTGTGTCACCGTATTACTAACACCTCAACTGGTGTCACCATATTATACTAGAATATTATCCTGTACCACTGTTTTACTATGCCATTACCTCATGCTACTGTATAACGGTATCCAGTCATTTCATACCCAAAATTTACTATTTGGTACCCTGAATTTGCCATTTCGTACCATGAACATAAACCATTTCGTACCATATGGAAAAAAAGATTTACCATTTCGTACCATATGGAAACATGCTTTACCATTTCGTACCATATGGGAAAAATGCTGTATCATTTCGTATCATTTCGTTCCACATGAAAATTGAACTTTACCATATCATACTTGGTACATGAAAAATATTCAGTTTTGAATGGGAATATTAGTATGGAATTTGTTTTTTGAAAATTTTGTTTTAATAGGCAATTTCCCTTATACTGACTCAGTTCGTTTTTATAAATATGTTTTATATATATCTAGTGTTTTTATATGTTGTCTAGTGATTAAATGGTTGTATATATATAATGAAATGTATAAAATATTATATATACTGGTGTATATTTTAAAATTACGTAAAGCATACTGTATATAATAATTTTAATAGTCTCTGATAATTCGTTTTAGAATGGTACTTGTATATGTCTATTTCTTAAGCTTATGTTGTTAGTTTTAACTAAATTCGGGTTCTTTTCTCATCTCCAATCAGGAAGTTTCCTGTACGCACATTCTATCAAATAGTAGGCAATTAAACATAGAAAACTAACCTTCAGTACTGAATTATGAATACATATAAAAAAAGCATACAATTGTACGAAATGGTAAACATTATAATTTTCCATATGGTACGAAATGGTAAACAATAATCTTCCATATGGTACGAAATGGTATACATTATAATCTTCCATATGGTACGAAATGGTAAACAATAATCTTCCATATGGTAGGAAATAGTATACATTATAATCTTCCATATGGTACGAAATGGTATACATTATAATCTTCCATATAGTACGAAATGGTAAACAATAATCTTCCATATGGTACGAAATGGTATACATTATAATCTTCCATATGGTACGAAATGGTATACATTATAATCTTCCATATGGTACGAAATGGTAAACATTATAATCTTCCATATGGTACAAAATGGTATACATAATAATCTTCCATATGGTACAAAATGGTAAACATTATAATCTTCCATATGGTACGAAATGGTATAGATTATAATCCTCCTTATGGTACGAAATGGTAAACAATAATCTTCCATATAGTACGAAATGGTATACATTATAATCTTCCATATGGTACGAAATGGTATACATTATAATCTTCCATATGGTACGAAATGGTATACATTATAATCTTCCATATGGTACGAAATGGTAAACAATAATCTTCCATATGGTACGAAATGGTATTCATTATAATCTTCCATATGGTACGAAATGGTAAACAATAATCTTCCATATGGTACGAAATGGTATACATTATAATCTTCCATATGGTACGAAATGGTATACATTATAATCTTCCATATGGTACGAAATGGTATACATTATAATCTTCCATATGGTACGAAATGGTAAACAATAATCTTCCATATGGTACGAAATGGTAAACAATAATCTTCCATATGGTACGAAATGGTATACATTATAATCTTCCATATGGTACGAAATGGTATACATTATAATCTTCCATATGGTACGAAATGGTATACATTATAATCTTCCATATGGTACGAAATGGTAAACAATAATCTTCCATATGGTACGAAATGGTATACATTATAATCTTCCATATGGTACGAAATGGTATACATTATAATCTTCCATATGGTACGAAATGGTATACATTATAATCTTCCATATGGTACGAAATGGTATACATTATAATCTTCCATATGGTACGAAATGGGTGATACGAAATGGTTATGGTACGAAATGGTTTTTGTTATGGTACGAAATGGGTGGTACGAAATGATTATGGTACGAAATAACTATATGATTCTGTACATAAGACCTCAACTGGTATCACCATATTGTTAATACATCAGATAGTGTCACAATACCACTAATTTATCATCTCATCAACTGATGTCTCGGTATTACTAAAACATTATTTTGTGTCACAGCCTGATTAAAACCAGGCCCCACTATACACTTGCGTAAAAGCCCCCATCCAATCAGAACCATTGATACAAAAGAATTGCATTAGAATTAAGAGATAACTGCAAGTGTATAGTGGGGGCTGATTTTAATCAGACTGTTTGTGTCATTGTTTTATCTAGATATCATCTCATGCATGTCGCAGGATTATGATATTAGTTTACTAAATCATAAAGTGGTGTCACTATATCACTAAAACATCATGCTATGTCATCTTGTGTCACCGTATTATCTACTCAAAACATCATCGCTATGTCATGAGATTATGATATTAGTTTCACTAATTGTATGCAGAGAAACTGTAGGAAACACTTTCAACGTATTACTGACACCACTTTCAACGTATTACTGACACCAACTGGTGTCACCGTATTACTAAGACACCAACTCGTCACTATATCACTAATACATCAAGACTTCATCGCATATCACAAGCTTAAGATATTAGTTAACTTAAGCATCAAGTGATGAAACTATATATATCACTAATACATCATGTTATGTCATCTTGCGTCACCGTTTTATTTACTCAAGATTTCATCGCATGTTCCTATATATTGTTAACACATTAATAACACCTGTCATGCACTGTATTACTGAGTAATATAAGATAATGAATGAATGCTGGTATAAACACAGTGTAACTGTTTCGGCTCGACAAAATCTCAAAGGCAAGCTTAAAATTACTGTTCCCTGCTGTCCTTTTTTATATTGATTTTCTTTTCATTTATTTTACGGAGTTTGGTGTTAATGGCAGATATGTCCAAGGATAGTCTCTGTTCAATCCATTGGTAACTTTTCTAGACTCATAGTGATTAAGGACACGACACATTGTTGTTTATAAGGATCATAAGGGGCACTAAATATTGTGAATACACTTGTCTTTTGTGGAATATAATCTGCTAATTTCTAGATGTCTTTTTTATGTGTCATTGGTAAGATTCTCGTTAACGTATATATTAAATAGCACATGTAAATATAAGGAGATATGGTATATTTGCCAATGAGACGACTATCCACCACTGCAATGACCAGTGAAATGAATGTAAGCAACAATAGATTGCTTCACAGCCTTCAACAATAAGCAAAACTCATTTACCGTATACATAGTAAGGAAAGCAATAAACGAGCCCAGCATGGCAAAATGTGAAACAATGAAAAACAAAACATCAACTGTAGCAGGCAGCAACAGAAGACAACCATCCATTTACAGGCTCCTGAATTAATTTGCACAGGCACCGGCTTACCGAATGTTGCGGGATTACATGCAAACATGATTGTGAACTCTCAAATCTCCACCAATTAGCCTACATAGGACAGCGGTGCACAGTTTTATTTCAAAACTAAAAATACTAGAAATGACTTGACTTATTAGACCGACACAAAACATAATCGAACACTAACAAAAAGACAAAAGACACAAAGTACCGACAAAGTACTCACAATCACCAAAAGCTAGTTCAAAGCCAATTACTACTAGTGAATATATACAGTTTCTCAGACTTAAATAGCAATCATTACACATCTAACGGATTTAGTGTAAAGTTTTAGAAGAGCACGACCTTGTGTAATACAAGAATAAAACATCGTAGCCTGATGTAGGAGCATAAACCTTCATAACTGTATAGCAATATGTATTAATGTATGTGTTTTAATTTATTAAAAAAAAATCAATGTAAGTACCGATAAAGACAATATTCATTCTTCGCGTAACTGTATGGAATCTACTTTGAAGTTCACAGGCTGATATTAAAGTGTTTCACATTATCGTACTTTCCGGCACCTTTATCATCTTGTTCAATACTCCCTACTTCTCGTTTAACGAATTGATGAGTACAGAAAATATAAGCGACGTCACAATGTAAGGATAAAATTTTCTAGTGACGTCACAGTGTAAGAGCAGAATTTTTCG